TATTACAGTATTATATTACCAGGACCTTCAAAGTGACGTCTTTGGAGTCCGTAAGTGGCCTCTTCAGGGACGAGTTGTGACAAAAGGCCACTGGGATCTCATTCTAGGTCACTTTGAAGGTCCTGGTGCAGTAGCTTCTTGTTCCTAGTAGCGATGCCAGGGGCCCCTAGTAGCGTCCATGCTCCTAGTAGTAAGGCCAGGAGCCCCGAACGTAGCTTCTTGTAGGTCAAAACTTATGGCGAAAAAACCTGTGAAAGTCCCACCAAATGGAAGTCCCATCAGCTTGCGGGGGGGGCTCTGCGGTTTCAAGCACCCACATTTCTTTCGGACCAACGCCCACGCGGTCTCGACGCGTTTCTTTCGGTCTCGACGAGTCCGGTGAGTCCGGGCGATGGACTCCGAGTCCGGGCTGGGTGGATTCGCTTGGATTCGTTCTTTTTTCGGGTGGCGTGGTGACTACGTGGTTTCTTTGGATATGTTCGGAACTTGACCTGGCTGGCAGTTGGGCAAGGTGCCTTCTTTCTCTCTCCTATGATCAGATCGGCGTGTGCTCCAAGTCGTTTTGTTCTCAACACCTTCATTTTGGGCACCAACAGGCAGGATCGCCGTAGATCTCTATCGCACGCCTCGGAGGTCCAGTGTTATCGCCATCTAGACAGAGGCCAAAGGTACGAGACACGAACTGCAGCAGGTTGTTCCCCGCGTTGCGGGAGCACTGCTCCGTGCCCTCACAATCCTGAGGTCGCGGATAGGTCTGCGGATCGAGCAGGGACTTGCTAAAAGCCAACAGAAACAACTGCAAACAGTGAAATAAGTGACAGAATGGGCACCCCTACCTTCTGACGACCAACTAATGTGGTGGATCTGCTTCACGATGGTGATGCTAATAACAAATAACAAGCAATGACAAACATCGTTAAATGCATTATCCTGAACACTAGGCCACTAGGCGTGTTCTTGCTTTCATGGAGCATACCTGCCAAAAAGGGATAGAGCGCATGATCAAAAATTCCACCAAACCATCTTGGATTGGATAGGTGGGTTCTTAGGTCTGAGACACCTTCGCCAGCGTCAAAAGTGGAAGCAGTGGCAGCAGCCGGCGCGCCATGAGGACTGTGGCGGTTGGCATGGCGTTCTTTAGCCAAAATCGGCTGAAGAGACAAAAGCATGCATGTCCCCGAAGCTCCTGGCTGAATCAACACACCTGTGGCCGAGCTCCCAGTGACCAGCAGCAACACACACACAAAAAAGAAACAATGGCGAGTCATGGTGGCGGGACTGCAAACATACCGAGCCACTACTCCTTAGGCCTTCTTGGGGGGAGGCGCCTTCTTGCGCCCGCGAGAGCCAACACCCGCGAGGCGCCAACGGGGCGTTTCAGGGATCGATGTGCTCGGGGGAAGGCTGAGGCAAGCTTGGAAGCCTAGGTGGCAGTGCTGAAATAAAGGTTTGAGGTTGTCAGACTCAGACAGGTGCGGGTCCAGTACTAAACTAAACCACATTAAACCACTATAAACTGGCAGATTGAAAGCATGTCATCAACTCATTCAACCCCCTGTAACTATAGGAGGGCATATTTCCGTGGGATATATTTTTTTTGGGGGGTGGGATGCTCTTTTTTCTTTTAATGGGCTCTGGAAGGAAGGAAGGAAAGAAGGAAGGAAGGAAGGCAGGCAGGAAGGAAGGAAGGAGACGGAGAAGCAAGGAAGGAAGGAAGGAAGGAAATTGCACTTCAAAGGCTTTGCTGCACATCGAAGCAAAACGCTCCGATCTGACCCTGGGCCTCCCGCGAACAGTCGACTTCAAACCAGCTATGAACCGTGGAAGACCCCACAAAGGTGGATGCTATGGGCCACCAGCACGTAGAGGGATCACTTAGCTCAAACACCCAATAGTAGCACGTAAAAACCCAGTAGACCTAATGAGAAACTGTCTAAAGCAACAGAATCAGAAGACTCAACCCCCCCCCCCAAAAAAACATCCCACTAAAAATATAAAATATATCCCGCTAAAAACCTGCAGCCCTATACCACTCGAAAACCCCATGGGTCCGCCAAAAACGCGCGAAGCGTTTGCCAGAGGCAAACCAGCAGCTGAAGCTCTTTCTGATTCTGATCTCAGCCACACTGTGACGGCAAACGTCCCTGTCATCGATGCTGGCAGATGTGTACATGGCATGCCGGAGGAACTCGCCCGCGACCGTCGAAGCTCGTCCATACGACGTGAAGTCTTGGAGTCTTGAAGAAACGAAGTTGAGTTGGACGTTAAACATGTGGAGTTGAACGTGAAGTTGAGTTGAAGTGGAGTGAGTTGGATGTCCTTCACCCTTCACCCCTACCAGGGCCCCCTGTTTGGGGTGGTTAATGGAAGTCCCTGGTCCCTGAACCTCTAAGGAGCTATAATTGGACACCCCTGGTATAGGATATTTGCTGATAAATCCGGCTGTTTGGCCGCACCAGGGGGAACTACCCTGCTTTCCCCAAGCGGCCCATTGTTGCTTTCCATGTTCCTGTCCTAGCCTTGGTGACGTCGACCTCCGGGCTTCTCCGCCGCCGCGACGGCTCCTCCAGGGACTCTGCTTTCCGAGGATGGCAGGCGACGCTTGCGCATCTGTAAGCCCATCTGGGGCTGGGCGACCCAGCGAAGTGGTCCGCTATGGCGATTTGGAGGATCTTATCGGGTTGAGTTCCCCATGCATATAGTAAAGACAAACTCCAAGCTGTCATTATGACCCAACAGTTTCTGGAACTTCTGGTAGCTTTTACCCTTTCAGTGGGGGTTTGGTTGATGTTCATTTGGGACCAACACTTCCCACCCTTCCGGGACTCCTCTATCGGAGTTCGAAAGAAAAAGGCATGGCGGTATATCGCATTTATATGCCCTGGCCGGAACCAAGACCACTAGGAGAAAGGTTCACCGGGTTTTGTAAGTGAAAGAATATCAAACAATCCTTATTCAACCAATGGTTGCTTGGCAAAGAGACCATTCATTCAGGTAGTTGGCATCACTTGGATCCTCCAATGCCTTGCCAGGAGTCTCCCACGGCTTGAATCCCGCGGTGCAGGGAGAGGCGACTGCACGGGAGTCGGTCTTTACAAGGCATCCGTGGGCGGAGTTGTAGGGATGCCACGCAGCAGGTTGGTCAGTCGTTCAAATCAACAGTGTCCCACCAGGCACTGCCAAAAACACTTCAAAAGATGCCATATATTGACACCCATGGAATCCCATTGACACCCTTTTTCTGCCTCTCGGACGCAAACTGGAGCTGCGAACATGATTTTTGCGATTGTTGATTCCAAGAATCGTGAATCTTGTGGCAACATGTGCAACCCCATTTCGAGATACTTCAGCTTCAGCTCTCAGGAAGATAGACTTCCTGGAACGAAATCACATGGAAGTGTAGTATGAAAACGGTCCCTTTTTCAAAACCAATGTTCTCCTATACAAACATGGGGTTGTCCACGGAATCACATGAGTTCCAGGGAAAAAGTTCACCCCGTTGGATCTGTTCGGACACTTTTTTAACGACACGTGGCTGTTCGAGCCTCCAACGCTTCCGCCCACAGGCTGTGGAGAGTTTCTGGGCTTCAAAACTCGGGTGCAGAGAGCCCACGGAATCCCAGAAGTACCATGTGCATGGTTTTAGTTGTTTGTTGGAGGGGGCGTCTATCGATGAGAACATCTCATCTGGGCGGTGGGTGCTGTGATAAAAACTGACGTATGCCAGGGCCATTGGGCCATGATTCCGGATGCCTATGACTACTGTAGCCCCTTGGAGTCTTGGGGGTTAAGGGGGGGTTAAGGGGTGTGTCCATGAACCACTCCCACCGTGGGTCCTGGTCTGTTCCATGAACGTGTCTGATGTTCGCGATTCTTCGTGTGGGCATGAGTCAAGTGAAAAGACCGGAGGGTTCGAGTGAAGGAACATGATTGAAGTTGTCGAAACCCACCGGTCGCTCGAAACCACGGACCGTCGCCCCGTTCTCATCCTTTTGCCACCATTCGAACGATCAAGAAGCTGGCGTGGGCGGGCAATCTGCCTCTTCGAACATGTTTGTCCGTTCTTGCGTGGTGGCTTACTGTCGCTGGCAGGCTCCGATTTTCTCCGACACGCGGCGGACCAGGCCCCTCCTGGTGAGTGGCAGGTGAACGGTCTCGGGTGCTGGGCATAGGATCTCTCCCCATTTCAGGTTTCCGGGCTCATCCAGGCTCACGCGCACACACAGGGTTCCCTCGATGACGTGAGCTCACGTCACCGAGCGGGAATCAGGCGACAAGCCACACGTCCCACTTCGCATGAAGGGGTGAATTCGTGGGCGACCCCCGGTGATTTCGCCCTGGCAAATGTAGGCTCTGATTGACTTCTTCAACCTCTCAAAGCCTGAGATGAAAAGGAGAGTCACTGACTATCTACACTCCCGAAAACTAACATAGACCCTGACAATGGCCCCCTGGAAGAGTGTTTTCCTCTACCAGTGGTTCTCAGGGTCCATGTTAGTCTTCCAGGGTTATAGTCATAGTGACTATTCCGGAAGCTTCTATTTTGTGAAGGCTCAACTTGCGGCTGCAGCACCCGTCTTCTTCTCGGAGCTCCTGAGTGGCGGTGACAATGGGTATACCGTGCAAGCCGGCGAAGCCTGCCGCGCAGCTTGATCCACAGAGCGAAAGCACCCGGTTTGCCCGCGGCTACGGTCACGATGTTTCTTGACCGCAGCTACGGTTCGGCACAGCACTGTGCCAGTCAAAAGATTCAATTTCTTCCAGGGCGGGCACAGCACACCAAGTGGTGTTGGGACAGCGACCTCTGATTCTCTTTGTTGGATGCCGCATCCAACAAAGGCCGTCAACCAGGCCATCAAACAAACTCAACCAAATCATCTTGAGAAACTGAGAAACTCAGCTTCAAAGCCACTAACCAACAACATGTGTCAGGTCATGGTCATGCCTTACTCACCGCCGGGACGGGAAAACCCGCACCACCGCAAGCACCACGTACCGCCTCATTTCAAAGAGAGCTCCGCCCAAACGGGCCGATGGTCGCCTTGGCGTTTGGCGTCCGGCGGATGGCAGCCAGACTCCCAGACTCCCTAGCAGTCCCTGCTGCCGGAGACCAATTCAAGAAAGAAAGGGTTCGGAGGGCTGGGGTGGGCCCCGTATAACACACCACTTGACCAGAAACCGGCCGCATCATAGCGCAGGTGCAGTGAAAACCAAGCTTGACTGCACGACGTTCGATACATACTCTGGCGAAAGGCTGCAGGCTGGCTCGAAGAAACACGCTCCAACCGAAGACCTCCAAGTTCCACCCCCGTGGGTTCGATGGAGCATCGACCAGTCTACAAGCCCATCGGGTCAAGGGGGTCTCCCTATTGTAATACACACTCATCTACATCGGCAAGACCCCCCCCAACAAAATCACTGTAGAACCCCCGTCTCAAGCCACTTCCAAGCCTGTTTTTCCCAGTAGAGAGGCCCCGAAATCAGCTGCCACCCTATGAAGGATGCAGGCAACTACATCGAGTGTCCCCCGCAGCCAACTGCAGTGGCCCTGCATGGATCCGACCGTTCCCGAGTCCGCGGGTCCCGGCTGCCGAGGGTCTGCCAGCCATTTCTCCGACACCGGTGGTTAAAAGATCCCAGTGCTTGGAGTAAAAGATGGCATCCACCCAGCTGTCGACAGCCAACCTGAATCTGAGCTGTTTTGGAGAAGGGAAGTGGGGAAAGTGGGGGGATGATTGTTTGTTTTGCACAATTCCCATTGGATATTTGGACTCCCCAACATCTTGAGCTGGAGTGACTGCTGGAACGATACAGGAGGAAAGGACCACAAAGGACGTCCATGCAGTCACTCCTTGACTTGTTTCCAGGGAGTTCCATGGCACAACCACTCACTGCACTGCCACTTCAGGAGAACTGCTCCAGTGGTGCAGGGATACACCATGATCCAACCACATTCTGGCCCCAAGAGACCGCGCACGGCCGGCTGCCTGGTTGTGGGTTCGTGGGGACAGCCCGCTGGCAAAAGGACAAGAACCAAACATACTGATGCAACAAGTCTGTCAATGTCTGCTCAATAGGTCCTTGGCTTGTTGGCAGGAGCAACCTTTGTAGAACACGCAAGCCAAGCAACTTGAAACCATTGTCCAAGAAATGTCTGATTCCTTTCCTGAGTCACAACGAAATCTCAATCCATGCTTGCTTCAGCGGATACTCATGGTGAGAAATGTTTTCAGCGCGTCCAAGTGAGCTGGAGCTGAAACCGAATGAATCACCAAAGACATGCAAAGACAATATCATGGCTTCCACTTGGCCGTGTTGTGTGCATGAAAATCGGCAAACCCCCCCAACCAAACATGGACTCCAAGCCGTGTCCAGGCATGTGGCTATCATTTGCCAACTGAAATGCGCCGTTCCAGATCACCTGGTGGCATTTTTAAACATCGTGAGGATCCGTGAGGTATGGGAGCACCACCTTCTCTTTCGCCCAGGTTTCTCGCCCATGCCCGCATTGAAGTCCCCAGTGATGACGACCGGCGCATCTTTGGCATTCTCCTGGATCGCCTTCAACATGTTCTGGGCACCACGGTATCCTCATCGACCAGCCGTCGCACCGAGCAGAAGAAGAGGTCCGCGACCGGGTCAACAGGGAAATTCTGTCCAGCCACGCGGTGCCGAACATTGATGACCCCATGATCCAAGCCTTTGTGATTGAACTGATTTTGCGATTGGGCATGTGGCTGGGGTGTTAAAGTCGTCTTTTTGTGGATTCAGTGGTCTGAAACCAGGGGGGCAAAGTGAAATACGTGCAACCGTACATATGCATGGAAGGAGGGAGATGCCGTCATGAACCCGACTGGCTGTCATATTGAGATCTATTGGCCGGTGTGTTTGCCTACCCTAAGAGAGCATGTGCAATCCACTTGAGAGCTCGGAGCAAGCTGGGTGCATTCAGCCAAACAAAGCCATCCAAGAACCCAAAGTAGGTTGAACAAGATGAGGCAACCAACGAAATTGACATCATCTGCTGAACATCGTTTTTGAAATTGCAGTGCCAGGTTTCTCACATCCTCGTTGCAAATGCGATCACCCTCGCTGTGTACGCACCTCAGGTACAAACGGTCCGGCCGAAGATGACTGTCCCAACTGAGCCAAGCCCCGAAGAAACCGAACAACTGAGCCCCGGGTGCCACGGGAGGGTTCTATGATTCTGTGACCTATGATGCGTGTTCCACCAATCATGTGCCCGAAGGTCGTTCTATACTTCATCTTCAGGTTCGCACACGGGACATCTCTCAAACAAGCAGTGACCACCAAACTGCAACCATGTGGAGCTTGAGGGAACTGGAGTGTAGAGGTTGAGCCATGACACCCTTGCCATGACACAAAGCACCAGCCATTTTCGTTGGTGCAACTTCTTAGCCAAGGCACCAGTGGGTGTTGAAATGCCAAAAGACGTGGCCCGTGGACTCGTCAGTCAGCTTCACCCAAGTGACCTTGGAAAGGGTGTACTCCTCTAAAGGCTTGCAGAACCAACTCATTCAGGAACGCCCAAGTTGGGTTAGATGGTCTAAGAAGGCTGGAACTCATTGAGGTATAGGGCGGCCAGCCGTAGTTGGCCATGCGGAACTCACGTCCGTTGCGAAGCGGCGTGGCCGCAGCTCACGTCCGATGCGGAGTCAGGTGTCGACCCTTTTCGGTTGCTCGGGGCCACCGGATGGATAGCACTTAGGCGGTCTAACCCTGGAGCCCCGCCCTCAAACCCCCCGAGTCTGTGGAAAAACCGGTGTCCCCCTTTCCCACCCACGGTGGTCTGCTTCGCCTCCCCTTGGCCCATCTTCGCCGATGCCAAGATGCATATCTGGGGCCCCACTTGCCGGTCGCGTCCAAATCCTCGACCCACGCGGGTTTGCGGGTCAACCCACGACCGGTTGTTTGTTGGGCGAAACGGCCGGTGGGGATGGACACAGTTCAGGGTTGGAAAGCATAGGGAAGGACAATGACAAATAGTTCCATCTGCAATTCCAAATAATTTGGTGCACTGTCGCGTATCTGTTTTGGGGCTGCGTGACTCAAACCTCAACAAACTTCAACCTGGACCCTGCACGATTCGTCGATTCTTCTGACAAGAACCCTGACTCGTCCAAATCAGCACAAAAACTAGAAGCCACCATAAGCCACCTATATATATATAGAGAGAGAGAGGGAGTCGTGTTCTTCTGAAAGAACTTGTGTTGGGCTTCTCTAGCCATAAGCTAGGTTGGGGGAGCATCCACGGTGCTCGCCACCTACATCATATGCAGCTTTAGCAGCTATAGTTGGGTGAGGGGAGAGGTAGGTGAAGCGCCAAGGTGCTCTGGAGCCCGAATTGCTGGTTGTGAAAAGGCCTGGCTTCACCATGACTCCTAGCGGGCACAAGAAAAGCCTTGCAGTGTCAGATCAGCATGTGAATGGTGAAAGAAAACAGGCGCAGGGAATGCTTATAGGCATAGGATCACCACGCTGACATGGAACTTCTAGCTGTTCTGCTTCTTCATGTGTGCCATCGGGTTCAGTGTCCACACTCGATCCGGAGCTCGGAGATAATCGACGACGTGTGTCTCTTGTGTGGATCCTGCGAATGCGGTCAAACAGGTTATAGCTCCGGGATTGCCATGTTTGGAAACATTTGATGAATGGATCTCGCCCACCCCATGGGGGCAGTGGGACCATGTGCCACATGATTTGATGCTTAATTATTGACCTTCTGAACACCTACATGTTTGGCCTGTTTGGCGCTTTTCGGTGGTAGCTGGTCCACTGGAGCTTAGAAGCCATCAACATACCACCCCTGGCGCTTCATTGGACCAATACCAACGTTGAAAGACTTCACACCCCCCCTGCCTTTTGATTTGTCTCCATCTCCGAGGTCGAAACGCCTGTGTTGCTTCACCCTTCTTCCCAAACACACCGGGCTCTGAAGAGCCCCCGCTCGCAGTCCGCAAAACGCACGCTCCGCCAAACGCGCGCTCCGCGGCAAAGAGCCGCAGCCCCCCCGGCTCGGGTCTGAGCCTCTCCTTGAGCACCTTTGAAGACGCTGGCTCGGTCCAACACACCGGTGCGGCTACTGATGCTGCTAGGAGAGTCACACTCCTGCAAGCCGATCGCCTGAGGGCCGGTTGGAGATGGGAGGTGCGTAGAACCATCCCCGGGCAGCACCAATCAACGTAGGGGAGGAGGTGGTGGCAAGGGCAAACATGATAGACACCATGACACCATCTTTAAGAACATGTTAGAATCCGATGACTGCACTTCAAACCTTCGGTTGGTATACCTTGGGGCCATGGGGGCTATCACAATGCTTGTAAGGTTCATTTGGGGTGTGCATCATGAACGGTTGATGAACAGATTTTAGCTGGAGCAGTCGCAGTAACAAAAGGCCACACTGGAGATCCACAGTTGTCTGGCCTGATGAGACCAATGAAGTTGTCAGCATCTTCTTCGCGCGAATGCACCAAAAACTCAAACCATCCAAAATGCATGACATGGAAACAATGAAAAAAGGTGGAACACACCTGGCTTCGAGGAACAGTTGGAGAGGGTCCCTGGAGGCGTGCACTCAGAACCTGACAAGTACAACCTTGTCCTGAAACATACCACATATCCCTGGCCAGCAAGGAGGGCAGGGGAGCGCAACAGAAGTGAGAAGCTGGCAGTAATGCACTTCCACCCCGCCAGTGGCAACCCAACAAAAATTAGTGAAAGGCAAATGGGAAGAATATATGGAAGAATCATACTATTATGAAGCGCATGTATTATACACATCGGATGACATAGACCAGGAGCTTCAAAGTGATCTTTTGATATCCCAGGATGAGGTCACTTAAGTAAGCCCGTAAAAGGTCACTTAGACACTCCAACCAGGCCACTTTGAATGTCCTGGAACATAAAGATCACACAATTAACACCATGGTGGCCGTCAGCAATCATCCCCACATCAGAACCGGCGCCACATGGGTTCGGAAAAAGAACACCTATTAATTAAAAAACAGAAGGCGTGAAAGGGAGTTGACGTCGGGTGAAGCAGCCAAAGCGCGTCTGGTGTCAAGGTATCTTTGATGTTGTCAATGATGCCATCGCTCTTCCAAGAGTTCCTGGTCGAAGATGGAAGATGTCGCGGAACCGGAACGAGAAGATGGAACACAAGCTGGCTATGGTTGGCTGACTGGTTGGAAGGGAGACGGGTCAGAAGACCTATATATGAGTATCGACGGGGCTTGGGCTTGAGCATGAAGCTTGTTGCTGGGATAGTCCATGGGTAAACCTTTCTCAGTTTTGAAGTTGGCCATCCCAGCATTCAGCTTGCTCAACCCGTGACTTCGACCAAGATTCAAGAAATCAGAAGTTCTCATGAGGTGACCCAAATCGACCAATTCCACAAGCTGGTTCATGAAATCTGTCTCGCAAGAATATAGCTGGTCACAAAACAAGAAGACACTTAAACCACCAAGAACAGCAGGAGTCTGGAAGCATCGTTAGCCTCATGTGAGCGAGGCTCATGTGAGCAGTTCAGAGCTCTCAGCCCATGGTGGCCCTGGAACACATGGTGGCCCACTAAGGGCTGATAGCAAATGGCCACCATGTGGAACAACCAAACGCCAAAGGAACGCGAAGATGGAGCAGATCCGGCTGTTTGAATGGGACCCCACCCACGTGGCACCGGACTTGCCACCAAACACTTGGAGAGGCCAGGCGGGTGTTTGGTATTGCACCAGCACACTCTAACAGATCGGACCTCCCACATTTCCGCCAGGTAGCTGCCCAAAAGCATTCCACCAATATAAATTGTAGGACACCACCTTCACCACATTGCCTCCACCAACTCGTGTAGTGGTGGTTGTGGTGGTGGTCAAGCTGCAATCGATCTGGTAGAATGTCGCACCTCACCAACAAACGAGTTCCAACAGCAAAGGGAATGGGCTTGGAGACAGCACACACGTGCCCAAAACCCCAAGCAGGTGCCAAATCCCAGCACAAAGCCCTTCTAATGTTGAACCCCACCGGAAATCGAGCGAATAGGAGGGAATGGGAGAGATTCCCAAGCAACTACTGTAATTAGACCGCCTCAAAATCAAGCCCTCAGATTTAAAGCAAACACTCCGATTCACCAGCCCATCACCTTGAACTGACGAGTTTGGATTCAGCAAAAGATCGCAAGAGTTACGTGGCAAAACGACTGAAGTCACTGGACAGGTTACGTTGCAGCCCGCTTTCGACAACAAATACGAACACCAAAGTCCACCGAAATGAGACACACACACACACTGACACACACCTGCAGCCGGGTCACATTCACCATTGGTTCGGGTGGATTCAGAGCCAGTAAAACTCCTTAGTGACAAATCTATCTGCTATAGGGATGGGAATGGATGGGATAACTACTGTTTCTCTCCTCTGCACCGAACCCTGAAAAAAGAATCGCAGCTTTGTTTGCGGGAAGTGTTCTTGCGACATGTCAATCAACATCTGTAACTACCAAACGAACCTGATTGACACCTGTTTTTGGAGCCCAAAACCATGTCTTTTCAGATCCAAAACACAGGTCAAACGGGTTCATATACAGCGCAATGGACATGTGTCGCGACGGGCCGTCCGAGTCGGCAAGATCTCTTCGACTCTCAGTCCGCATGGGCAGCGAACGGTTTCGCGGGCTTCCGATGCGGCTTCCGATGTTTCTGTGGGGATCGAGAGTGGGGATCTCAGTGACCAAAGACATGAGCAAACATGAACAATCCTTGATAAAGCATTAACTCCTAGATGGGGGGGGTTGACATGGAATGCCTGGATGGAAAGAAAGGGCGTTGACAAAACAACATGTGATATTATTTATTAATCATCATGGTAGAGTACCCCCCCCCTTGTCGGAATAGAAGTGTTATAATGGGGCCCCTAAAATAGATCAGTCATAACTTATAACTATAGTCACTAGTCACTAGTAACTTATAACTATAGTCACTTATAACTATTGGTCAATGTTGGTCGGTTCTTTCTAAGCTGTATTGGAATAATCCCACCTCTTTTTCAGGGAGTACCCCACTGGGTACCCCCTATATCCCCCTATCATTCATAATCTTTATGGCATGCATTGGGGCGAGAGGCATTGGGAAGAGACCTCAAAAGCAGCTCTCCTTGCTGACCGCAGCTCTCCTTGACCGTGGCCCGACCCGACCCCCCGGCGTCGCACGGCACTACCCGGTGACTATACCCAGACACTCCATGGGACTGGTATATATTTACCTACAATTTGGGTGGTTTGAGGGGTCAGTTAATGTAGGCATCTATGACAAGCCCATGGAGTGTCATGCGATATATGAACCATGGCCGGACCAGGTGCGGAAGACCTTCCTCGTCCGGTCCGGTCACCCTTCCCGGTCCACCAGCTCCACGGTCCGTGGCGTTTCCCCGTTTGAACAACCAGCGGCCGATCCTTGAAGAAGCACTTGCCCCAGCGGGGGCCTGGGAGACGTGGCACCGGTGAGACGTGGGGCAGGGAATGAAAATGGATCTATACCAGGACCGAAACACCAAGTCCTGGTGGGTTTTTGGACACCTCGACTCACCTCTAAGAGTAGGGTATTTATAGACACCTCTTGGTGTCGGTCCTGGTAGAAATGGATTTCACATGTCCAGGATTGTCCAGGATCTCGTACGAGTATGCATTCTGAAGGAGTTAGATCCATAAAGCGCACTGGCAGCCATCCCAGGACATTCTTCCTGACGCATCAAGAACACAAATACATCTCGTGATCATATGCGTGTGTCTTTCCCCTTCTGGTTTCGCTCCTTCCACCCCTTCCAACCCCTTCCAAAGCACCGTGACTCACGTGCCCCGTGCCCCGCGTGTGGAGAGTGAACTGGGCGAACTCGAGGAACTGAGCCCCATTCCGGGCCATGGGGTCCAGGTACCTCCTTTTGACCTTTTGAAGATGGGTTTGGAGGTGAGTGAAAGTACCTGGACCCGACTGACCCAGTACTCTAGAAAAATGGGACATGGCCGCCATGGCCCTATAAAAACAGGTACGACTGTACCCATTTTCTGAGGTACTTTGAGGCTCCAGGTGCGAATGGTCGTTGCCTGGTGCAATTAGCTGGACGGACGTGCGAGGTTCGAGACCCAGCCAAAAAGACTTTGAGATTGGGGTCCACTACTAACTAGGCTACCAGACTTGGAGATTGTGCAAATTTGTGCCATCCACCTGGAAATCCCTTAGGCCCTTAACCCACTACTGAACAAATGAACAAAGGGTCTCACACCCTTTTGACCCCTTTTGGGGTTGCTGAGTTGGTTCCTTGAACGCCCCTGATCGACCCATTCTGCCTCATCTCCATGGCCACCCCTTCCCCGCCCGCCCCTCTCTGCGCGCCCGGACAGCGCGCGAAGGAGCGACAGCCCTCCGTGGCGTCGCAGGCGCGCTCGCACTCGATGAGATACGTGGACCTCGGCGAGGCGTTCGACAGATTGAGCCGACTCTTGAGTCGAAGGATGAAAAGGATCCTGAAAATCCCTGGAAAACAAGAGCAGGGGATCCAGCAGGGAACCCCAGGCTGATGAATGTTCCTGTTTTTGGAAGTAGGGGCACCACCTTCTTCGCTCCGTGAGATGTAGGCCACAGTGGATACTGTGGGTGCAGCGGCAGGGATTCCGACTTGATCATCTGCAAATCCGTGATCCCCAGGCTTCTCATGGCTTCTGCCTTAATTGGAATCAAATGGATATCATTGGAAGCAGTGCACCCTCATGCGATCTCCCACCGCCCACCGATCCACTGCACCGTGCCGCGACCGCCAAGCCGCTCCAAATGTCCCAGTCCGCGGCCTTCGTCCCTAGCCACGCCGTCCAAGCTGGCATAGCAGAGCTCCCCTGACGTCGGGAGAGCACACCTGTGTCGGAGAAAATGGGTATGATTTAGCTGTGATTTAACAGGCTATACGGTTTATGAACGTAAATGATATATAGACCCCAAAATGTAGATAGAACATGTAAAAACGCCTTTCAACATGTGTTGGAAACCGTTTCTTTGGGGACCACTATACATGTGTCATGTTCTGGCCCATGGGCAAAGAAATCCCAAGGAGGTCTCTCGGTTATACACACCCCTATCCTGTTTTTGGATGGATGCACCCCAAATCGAGGCACCACGTGGAACTTGGACCTGGTCCTGTTCCAGACACAGCAGTCACAGCAGTTCTGAGACGGGGTGCGATCGAGGAAGACGGGGTGCCCATCATCCACGGCCCCTGGATGGGACGAGCCACACCACCCAACTCCATATGACTCGCGGCAAATCATATTGCTAGCAGAGCCTTTCAACGCAGAGCTGGTTGTGGTGGTCATGGTGGTCGTCGTGGTCGTGGTCGCAGTGCTTGTGCTTTCGCCGCAGTCCTGAAATATCGCTGTAAGTGATTATCTTGAAGCCGATCGGCAGCTACATGCTACAAATCCACATCAATTCAGCAAAGTGGCCATGTTTTGAACAATTGTCCGATTTTGGCAGGTTCTCGTTCTCTGTCTACTAAAGTCTAAATTTGTCTATCACAAAAGGGGCTGCCATCCGCTCTTCACCTTCCCTGTTGACCTGATTTTTCTGCTTCTTGGGCAGCTTCCCCCTTGGCAGCTGCTCCTGGTCCTGGTGCACATGCTGTCTTTACAGAAAAGCAAGTGGTTCTCGCCACGCGTGCGAACCTGCGCCAAAGCTCTGTTTTGAAGTACGTCTTGCAGTCACGGTTGCTTCGTGAGGGCTCGTTACCCGTGAGTGCGCGATCTTTCAGGAAGCAGCCCCACAAAGGACCTGAAATAGCTGCGGGGAAGTGCAACAACAGGTCCAAAAGTTGGTCCTATAGGCCTATAG